ACTGTTTTCCATATTCCATGCTTTTTTAATGTGTTGCTATTAAATCTTTCATAACCTTCTCTTGCCTCTCTTTTTGAACTGTTTTCCCCCCAAAACCAATGACCTCACATATTTAATTGTTAACGTCTTCCTGTGGAAGCATAAATATTAAGGAAGAGAACAGATGTTTGCCAGCTCACGTTCAATTGATCAGATGGTGGTGAGTTTTAAACTCGGTATGCCAGATTGCTAGTGAACCTAGGTAAATGCTGTGTTCCACCACACGGGCGACTTCTTACAGACCCAGCTTGGTTCTTCTCCATTGTCTTCTCTTGGAGTTGTACCGGATCTTATTACCAATTTTCATTCAAATCCATTGGGGAATGGGGCGAATCTGCTTTTGTTTCTGGGCCAAGAATCTCTTGACCCTGAAAGTCTGATGAGAGGATATTTGAAGAAATGAGAGCTGGATTATATGATTTTAAGAGAAAAGCCAAGTGTTATCTATCTCTTACCTGTTAATCATGTAATTTTGGTCAGTATTTCCTTTTAAACTTTATATTATTGAAAGTCTCAAATGAGCAAGTGAACTCCCAAATCAAGGCAGTGGTGTGACTAAAATGGCTTCTCTAGACCTAAATTGAACTTCATTTGGGATCAAATTAGAGGTTGGCCAAAAACCTCTGTTTCTGCTGCTGTGCAAAGTCAATTCAGCTTCTTGTAAAATTTTAGTTGTTTGGAACTTAAAAGTAGCGTGTGTCAAGATTTTAGCTTGTGTGAGGAATTGTTTATTGAAAGGAATTTGTCCAGAGTGTTTATATCTGCTTAGTTCATATAGAATGTCTTGGTCAGTATGTCCCAGGAGGTTAGAAGATAGAGATGATAATGTTAAGGATTGTAGTTTAACAACTCCCTTTAACTTTTTGTCAGGTAACCCTCCTCTATCTGTGAACATGTAGACATCTGTTTACTCCCCCAACAAAAATCTCTCTTTTGGAAGGTGGAGCACTATAGTACCTCCTTTGTACTGGTATCTTCCAATTTGTGAATCTCTCCAACTTTTATAGGCATGCTTTGCTTTTACTTCTTCGTACAGAGTGTGTTACAGTGAATTATTTGTTATGGCTCTTCTAGCCATAGTCTTTGTAATTCCCACCAAATGATTGGGCACATGCAAATAAGATGTATGGAACCCTAACTGAGGGTTTGGTGGGTTTGACATCCCCCTAGGTTTAAAATGAGCCATCTCAGAAGCAGGAACAAGGGATCTCATTACCACCAAGAAAGATGAGTGGAGGATGTCCTTTGGACTCTGAATTCCCTGCATGTTGAACCTCTTCAATCCAGGAGACAGAGGACTGTGAGCCAGAGATGTGGTAGACAAGCCGAGGCAGCACCAAGAGCACAAAACATAGCAGCAGGTTTCTTGGCCCACAAAGTAAGCAAACTGCCTTCAGACAGGGAGCTCACTTGCGGTGCAGGTTGCCTCCAGGCACTCAATCGGAGGAGCTAGGCTTGTGCCCCACAGAGCTATAGTTGAGCACCTTTGGGCTAAGGCTTTTGGCGGAGTGGTGTGACCTTTGGGCAATTATTTCCAGACCCCAAAGAATTTTGTACCTAAGTAGGGCACATGGCTGAGATACAACCAGAGCAAGACATGCCTGCAGGCACAACTGAGGCAAGGTTGTCCTTGTGGCAAGAACTGTATCCTAAGCATTTCTGATCCAGAATTTTAACCTACTAAGTTCCAGAGCAAACCCATAATTATGGTTATGTGAACTATGTGGCATTGCAATTAATTACTGAACCCAGCAGAGGAGTATAGAATACCAAGGACAGAAGGTTGATGTTAAAATTGATGTTTGAAGGGTAAAGGCATGTCTGACCTCTGCCTCCTAAGAATTGTAGTAGGACTGATGTTGAGTTTGATTCTCTTTCCCTTCTGTGAAATCAGAGGTCAGATGCTACCCCTGTGCCATTTTTACAGTGTTAATGACTCATACTTCACTGTGATACACACATACGTACACATACACTGCCATTGAGTAGATTTCCAACTCAGAGACTGACCCTGACTGAGTAGAGGGTTTCCAAGGCTGTAATTCTTTACAGAAGCAGAGTGCCACAACTTTCTCCCACTGTATGGCTGATGAGTTCAAACCGCTGACCTTTTCGTTAACAGCAGAGTGCTCTAACCACTGCAACTAGGTGCCCTTCACAAAAGTAGGGAGAAAAGTATAGTGAATCCTCATATACTCCATATCCAGTTTCAACAATGACAACTCACAGCCAGTCTCTGGTAAATAAGTTCCTTAATCTGTACTTTCTAAAGGCTAAATCTTTAAAAAAGAGTTTTAAACTCAAGACCTTTAATTAGTACCTATATTATGTTGTAAGGTACAGATACTCCAAATCTCAGCTATGAGGAGAATATGTCTTAAATGGGACAAAGACACATTATCTGGATGAAAAAACAAAACCACAGCCATTGAGTTGATGCTGACACAGGGTAAAACTGCCCATTAGTTCTGGAAACTGTAACACTACGGGAGTAGAAAGCCTCTCTTTCTCCCTCAGAGTGCCTAATCATTTCAAACTGCTGACTTTGTAGTTAGCAGCCAACACATAAGCCCTTTAAGAGATCATAAACACGTCCAAGTGTTTGCAGTCTTATAAAGTGTGTTAGACTAGAGAAAAAGATTCAGACACGTGTGTAAGAGAGAGCCTTATATAAAAGAGTAATTGTATATTAAGAAAACATCCCAGCCCAGTCCAGATCAAGTCCATAAGTCCGATATTAGCCCATATGTCTAAACCAATTTATAAATTCCTCTTCAGAATCACAAAAAACATGCAATTACACCGAATGTAGAAAGATCACAGGCCAGTGCGTATAAAATCTTGTGGATCCAGTGACAGTGGAACCATGTTAGCACTGGCAGGGGTCTCTGTGTGGCTCCTCATTCCAGGGCTCTGGTTCCATTGTCAGCAGGAAGACCAAGCAGAGAGTCTATCTGACTTCCAGTGAGGTATTTATCTCCATAGCGCCTCCAAGTGAGGTCATCAAGCTGCGACCTGATTGATAGGCCAAACCCCACCCTTCACTCTTGTCTCAAGTTGACACCAAATCATGTAACTACCACAAAAAGACCAAATTAAACACACAAACAAAACTCTTTGCCATTGAGTCAGTTCTGATTCATAGTGCTAGGACAGTGGTTCTCAACCTTCCTAATGATGCGGTCCTTTAATACAGTTCCTTATGTTGTAGTGACCCCCCCAACCATAAAATTATTTTTGTTGCTACTTCAGAACCGTCATTTTGCTACTGTTATGAATTGGGCAACCCCTTTAAAAGGGTTGTTCAACCCCCAAAGGGGTTGCAACCCACAGGTTGAGAGCCACTGGTCTAGGGGATTTCAACTATGGTGACTTTGACCCTACTATGGCATGGCCACCAAGGACACACCTAGGCAAACATCTAAAGGAGACTGCATTTCCCTGGCCTGGTTGGGGGAGGGGAAGTAATCAGCTCATTCCTACTTAACAGAAGGAATTCAATTGATGCTTAATTGGATTAGGGAGATCAGTGGGCTGGTAGAGTAAGAGAAAGAGGCCAGGGGGTGGCAAGCATTGGTGTGGCAGGATATCTGGAAGGGTGATCTCAACAGCCCAGAGTAATCTCATTTTAAACCTGCAGGCCTAAATACCCTAGGCTGATTCTAAACTTCAGCGTCATCAAACCCAACACTTTTTACTGACTTTGCGTGCTACTTTCTTGTCCGCGCTCAAGCAAGACCAACCCCGGGGGAGAACGTGATGAGATCTGAGAAATAGGACCAGTCTTGGGATTGGTCCGTTCATAACCAGAGATACAGGCCACAGCTGATAAAATCCCCTATACACAGTTCACTTAGCCACAAAACGACAGTTCAGTTGAGTCCCACCTGCCGCGTCTGGTGCTTTTCTGTCCTTTCTAAATAAACTGCTTGTTGCTTGCCGTTTTGTGGTCCTGTCCGTGAGTCCACTCTTCAGTGGGCCAGACCAAGAGCCCCTGGACACATGAGTGCAGTTGTAACACTAGTGCTCAGAACTTAAGCCCTCATACAATTAATTGCTTTGCCAGTCACAATTTACTAAACATCCAAATGTTCAAGACTATATGCAACTCCTTGCAATTTCCTAAACACGGTGGACTTTTTCACACTGTTATGTGCACCACTCCGAAATTCTCCTTTCTCCACCTCACCTCCACTTTGCACCCTAAGCTCTCCAGTCTTACTTCAAACACCTTCTTTTTGGTAAAACTCCTCCTGAACCCTGAGGGTAAATTGTTTAATTGATTTACAATTGTTTAATAATTGATTGTAGGTTAAATTGATCCTCCAGAAGCGTCACATTTGTTCCTCACCTCTGGCAGTCTGGAAAAGAGATTCCTCTTTTTTTTTTTTTTTTTGCAAAAGACCGTTAAACACGGGCACAGGCTCCTGAAGACGTTAGGCCGCAACAGACTCTTCTTTTTCGTTACTGTCAAGGCGGTTTTGTAAGTTGGGAAGGTCAAAGAAGGAGAAGTACGTGTTGCACCACAAACGTGGCGGGTCTCTTCGGACCCTGGCTCGGGTCCCGCGTTAGCCACGCCGCCCACGGCGAGGCGGCCGCGCGAGACTGGGAACCTCCCGGCGCCGCCCCCTCTCGTGGCCCCGCCCAGGTTACGTAAACAGGGGCGTGAGAACGTGCGCGCGGCACCCGCAGGGGTTAATTTCCGGAAGCTGGAGCGTGTCGCTGGCGCGCCGGCCCCTGTGGAGCGGGCAGGTGCGCGGACAGCGACTCTCGCGGGCGATGTGTCACCTGCAGGGAGCGCCGTAGGCTAGCGCAGACCGGGTTCGAGCCTCCGGAGCGCTCCTCGCGCCTCTCTCGCACCTTCCAGGTCGAGCGCCCGGCCGGGGCCGAGATGTGGCTCCTTCGGCTCGTGGTCCTCGCGGCGGCGCTCGCCTGCGCATCGGGGGCGGCTGGCGGAACTGAACTCGTGGGGAACTCCAGTGAGGGTAAGGTCGGGGCGCCGCGCTTCTGCAACCCCAAATTCCTCCTGCATCTCCAAGGTCAAAATCCGCTCCCGGGTCTATTGTAGGTAGACGGTGGTGCCAGAGGGCTTCGTTTGACTTTGGATGGCCGAGTTTAACACTTGCCAAAAAACTCCCCCAAACTAGTCCGGGTCCTTTTCTGCAGAAGGGAACGCCCATCGCTAAGGAGGCCTGACTACCAGCCTCCCAATTTAGGCAAGAGAAATGGAAAGAAAAGAAAGATAACATCGTTTCTTTTTTCAGACACGGTGTTATCTGCCTTTTGGGGCAGCCATGTTTGTGGCTTTAATTTAACACACCAAAGCGCCCCTTTGTTCCCCGGTGACCTGTCTGAGCCGCTGGACAGGTTTGGGGCAGAATTGAAGGTTTTACGATGAATGATGCTCAAGTTACCGCGGGATTTTACACGCCAACATCTTTTCAAATACTTTTCAAATCGGTTGTGTGGAAACGTGAAGCCAGAATGGGACTTTGGATCGTAGATCATGTGCTTGGTGTATGGGTTTTAGCAACAGATAGTGGCTTGTTGATACATAATGTGAACAACTAATTGTGCTTGCCTGAGAATCACGAGCTATTCCGTAAAGTTAAGCACAGCCTTAGTTTTGTTTTGAGCCTAAGCTAAGAGGCTGGTTAAAATTCCAAAACTAAAAAAAAATAAAAATAAAAATAAATAAAATTCCAAAACTCCATTTTCTGAATAACGCGATCGTGTTCCTAAATGCTTTTGGAACACCTCTTGTGCAAACGGGACCCTAGAACCTTTGCTTGCTAGTTAACGGTTGAAAAGGGAAATTATGTTTTTTTCCAGGGAAGAAAATCCCTGTTTATAATAAGTGCCGGGCATTTTTCATGTGCGATGGTATTTAATCCTCACAATGCCCTGAGATAATTTTCCTCATTTTTTCCTCAGCTGGCAGAGGTTCAAGCTCAAGAAGTTCGTTACCCAGGTGAACAGCCTGGGCTGGGCTTGAAGCCCAGATGTGTGTGCTTGCCTGCACCTTTCATGGTTATTCCTGCTTCAACAAAGCTGTTCGCCAGGAGAATTCCATGCAAATATGATGCTTTGTACTTAAACTCCGTATGTGAGTTTTCATTCCGGAGAATAGCCTTGAGAGGGAGGCAGAAGAGATGCAGCCTCTTAGCAGGTTAACAATATCAGAGGCTGGAGCTGTTGCTGATCCCAAGAGCCAGGATCCAGACCTTTTTATTTGTGGTTTGTGCTTTATTATTTATTAATATCTAGAATTTTTTACACAAGACTGGTGAAAACTTGAATCTTAAATGAGAAATGTTAAGCACCATCTCTCCTCGCTGTCTTTATGATGATCACCCTGGCATTTCCTCAGCAGGTGGCTCCTGGTGCCATGCAGTGTTACTTTGTGCAAGAAAGGGATGATACATGGGAAAGTACTATGTGATTAAAAAAAAAAAATAGGTGACAATCTCCACATCCGAAAAATAAAAATCAACAGGAAGATTAATTCAAAGCTTATGTCATGCTACTTGGGGAATTCTAATAATGATACCAACTGAAGAATTGAGCAACTGCAGAACTAGCTTGTATAGTTTTAGTGTGTCTTGACAATAAATTACTGACAGCCAACCAAGTTCCTAGAAGGTCCGAGGAAGGTGCTTTCTATGACCTGTGTTGTTTTTCCTTCTTTCTGGAATCAGTTCTCTTCTGTCCTTATCACTTGCTTTTATTGTTTTAGATTCATAGCCAGTAACTCACATGGAATGACATTGTAGTTGCAGTACGACAGGTTGTCATTATGGCCTTTCACTGTTTGTGTTATTGATAGTCATTTAGTACTATTGATAGCCCTTAAAGGCAACAGAACACTTGTGTAGTTAATTACAAGTTATACCTGTTTCTCAGAAATAAGTGAAAAGTATGTTCATAATTTTATTTCCTTTCAACTTTTAGGCCTCACAACAATTAATAAGATAAAACAGGAATTTGGGAGGGACTGTTCTGTGGTTTGCTGACCAGCTTATGTAGCCAAACCATTTTATTCCATTTTAATTTTTAATAGTCCATTTGATGAATTTAGGACAGAGCTCTTCTGGAATTTGATTGATGCACTAAAGCTTAAACAATGGAGGTAAATAGGAGGTGAATTTTAGTAAAAGTGGTGAAAGAAGAAAGAGTTGGAGATTTTTCAAGGTTTTAAGGTTAGGATCCAACTGAGATAGAAAAGTTTAGGATTGAGTTCTTTGTAGAATAAAATCATTGTCAAGAAAAAATGAATATGAGAAATAAATGGAATGTTCTATGTGTGAAATGGTGGCAAAAATATATTTGGCAGCAAAAGGAGAGTCACTGCTTTTTATTTTTATCATTTGGTTTTTATTAGAGTCCTTGCTTTTTAGAAGAAAGCTACAACGTGTAAATACTTGGTCTTGATGCTTGCCATTTGCCCTGTAATACCATTTATACTTAATGGGCTTTTTTTCCTCCTACACTCAAAGTCACAAGATCTCATTATACCTCATCAAATGTTTCTAATGAACCTTTTCCCAGAAAGCTTAAAGGCGAGGCTTACTTTCTATTTTTTAGCATATGTATTGAGTATGTGCCTTCCATTGCCAAATCTGTTTTTGTGAGCAGAATAATTATCTGCCATTTCTGCTCGACAACATTGTTGAAGTTATTATTATTTTTTTTCATTGTTGAAGTTATTTTGACTACTACTTTCAGTATTTTTTTACAGTCACTTCTGTGTAAGTCTTTTCCTCAGCTGTGTGCTTATCATGTGCCAGGTGTTTCTGGAACTGTCTGTTCCCATTTTCCCATGAGCTTTTTTGGTAGGCCATAAGGAGCCCAGGTGGTGCCCCGATTATGCGTTTGGCTGCATGGCGTTTGGTAGTTCAAATCCACTTAGCTACTCTGCAGGAGAAAGGCCTGGTATCTATCTGATCCCCTAAAGATTATAGCAAAGAAAAGGTTTTGGGGTAGTTCTGTTTTCTAACATATGGGTCACTGACTATTGTTCTGACCCGTAGAGGCCTTAGGCACAACAGAACACACAGTCTCACAATTGTTCAAATTTTTACAGCCACGTGTCAATCCATCTCACTGAGGGCCTTCCTCTTTTTTGCTGCCCTTTGACTTTTACCAATATAATGTCCTTCTCCAGGGACTGATCTGTCCTGACATGTCCAAAGTATAGAAGATGTTGTCTTGCCATCCTTGCCTCTAAGGAGCAAGGTCTTGATGTTTGCTACTTGCCTGTTATATCATTTATACTTAATGTGCTGTCTTTTTTCATCCTACACTCAAAGTCACAAGACCTCATCATGACTCATAAACTGTAAGGCCACACTTGGAAGGAGTGCAGGGCTCCAATTCTCCTGTCAGATCAATGTGGGGCTGAAGCTGCCTTTGTACCCGTCCCTGTAAGACCCTCCACGTATGAAACCTGACTTTACTCATCAGAAGGCGCATGAGCCATTGCTTCCTTCTGGTCTTATGTATTTGGAGACCAAGCAGCTTTTCATCAAACTGCAGGTTATGTACAAGAGAAATTAAAATGACTTTTAAGTGTTTAAATCTGCCAATGTAAGAGTAAATAACACCCCCCCTATATTTTTATGTGGAAAATAATGTGCTGGTAAGCTTTTCCCTTTAGTATGACTGTACTTCTTCTAAGACAGATTTCTTTGTGCTTTTGGCAGTCCATGGTACTTTTCAGTATTCTTCTCTAGCACCACAATTCAAAGTCATCAATTCTTTTTCTGTCTTCCTTATTCAATGTGCAACTTTTACATGTATAGAGAGCAATTGAAATTACTAGGACTTGAGTTAAGTGCACCTTAATCCTCAAAGTAACATCCGTGCTTGTTAACATTTTCAAGAAGTCTTGTGCAGATTTACCTATACCGTGCATCTTTTGGTCGCTTGAATACTGCTTCCATGAATACTGATTATGTATCCAAGCAAGCATTGATTGTGGATCCAAGCAAGACAAAATCTTTGACAATGTCAACCTTTTTTCCATTTATCATGATGTTACTTACTGGTCTAGTTGTGTGGATTTTGGTCTTCTGTACATTCAATTGTAATCCATACCGAAGGCTGACATTCTTGATCTTCATCAGCAAGTGCTTCAAATGACTACTCTCACTTTTAATAATGGTGGATATAATAAATGTCTGACTTTCTTTTTTAAATAAGGAGATGTGCTTCTGAAACACTTGAAAACTAATGG